ATGCTCATTCGAGCGGAGATGGTGTGGTGACAGGAGGGGCCACTGCCGCGCATATGGTCTCTGGATCGAATCCCAGCTCAAACCCAGCGCGCGTCAGCCAAATTTCTACAGAATATTAGTTCTTGCTAGGAGCGACTGTTACTACACAAAACACATCGATAACTCGTTTCTAAAAAGTCGTAGTCTAAGGGTAACGGAACAGACGCCGTCAGTCCGATAAATATTGCACTTTGAAGCTGGAGAACAGAATCCATAGGTGAGAACTAGGGTACCCGCTCGTTGTTCTGATTCCAAAAATTCAATGATTCCTTTCCCATGGGGGTCGATACGGCCCTCATACCACTACGAAAGGGGGAGTAATCAGCGAATACGCCCTTCTTACCCCATACACCGTCCATGCAAATTTTCTATGATGTTAATAAAATTGGTTCCAGCTCTATACCTATACGGCTTCGACTCTCGCGCTTCTTTTCCGCTTCCAATTCGCTGTAACCGAGCGGCTAAGGAGCGTGTGGGGCGGGAGGAAGGGGGGGGCCGCCGGTCCGTTATAATGTGTCTTCCCGAAGCTGGCCACATCTCCCCTACTTACCACTTCGTCGTACTTTTTCCTCAAATTTCTATTGAAATGTCAGAAAAAAATGCACGTTCAAAATACACGCCCCCTCTAGCAATTCATGACCAATTCCGAAGTTCCAAAATTATCACACCACTTCCAAAAGTTTTGACCTTCTTGACATTCTTGACCACGTTTGAAACCTTGAGACTCCTTCCCCCTTGTTTGGGAACTTGCACGACTTCTGTTAACCCAGTTGACCATGTTGAGAACATAGCGATGAGACAACGAGGCTGGGGATCATCGGCAACAGTGACAAAAACCTGACGCACTTCTCGCGCGCTTTGAAGTCTCGAAAGGTACATCTACCACTTTCGCGAATAGCTCTTTTCAGTGACCTATTCCAACTGACTTCATCGTTAATGTGCTGTTTAGTTTGTAGCTATCAAAAGTTTATTCAAACTAAGACTTTGCCTTGGCTGGTGTCAGAGTCCGCGATTTTTTGCGCGATTGCGCGATTTGCGCGATTTGCGCGATTTGCGCGATTTTCGCGATTTTCGCGATTTGCGCGACGGTCACGGAAATCTCAAGTGCCTCATTCAATACTGCAAGGTGTTCTCTTCCACTTGCTTCATATTCAGTGTTTCAATTGTTCAAATGGGCCACTTGCAATTTTTGTGATCCGCGCGATCTCATGGTCATCCTCATGGGTCAGTTCAGAATAGATGCAGTTCCGTCCCTGAACGAATGAGCATTTCAATGAATAATAGACATAACATTAAACGAGTAGAATCACGGGCAGTCTTCCTTCAATTTCCAGGATTAAACAGCACCTCGCAGTATTCATCGGGGCACCTCCAACTCCTGTGACCCATCGCAGGTTTCGCAAAAATCGCGCAAATCGCGAAAATCGCGAAAAATCGCGAAATCGAATCGCGGACTCTGACACCCAGCCTTAAAAGACCTGACATATCGAATTGTCATGGCAGAAACAAATCCCATGCTTTCTAAATCCCACTCCGTGTTATTGATTCCCAGATGAATTTTTCGATGTACTATATTGATAAGTTGGTGAGGTTTGGTCACGATCCGACACGGGCCATTTTAGTGAATGTTTTAAATAAAAAAGTATCAAGCAGGCAAACACCCGCCAGTTAACACTCTCGAAATTTAGAAATTTTGCTCTCTCAAAATACGGATGACAGTGGTCGCCCTTCACTCACACATCCGTGCAAGAGGCTTTACTAGGCTATTAAGTTTTGATGTCAATAGTAGGGTCTAATCTCGGTTCACACTCACGCACGATCACTAATTGAGAGAAATGAGCAAGTCGTTGGTGAAGAGGCTAAATTATTTCCATGGAATATTTTATTTTGGCACTATTTTTGATGACGCTTATTAGAGAGCTATCACAGATCCAGATCCAGATATCTGCTTGGTTAACGATACCGTCGCCTTCTCCTTGGGTATATACTTCTAGGAGAGCCAAGCATCTAGACATCCGGAACTTATAATACACAACAGAAACTCTGGCAGATATTCCACGAGGCTACCAACAGTGTCCGCTCCATGGCTCTATCCTTTATCTGTTTACCCCAGCCCCCAACATCTTCGAAAAGTAAACAACTTCTTCAAGACGTGGCAGAACTTAGTTCGAAATAAACCATATAGAAAGGAAAGTCATTGGCGAAAGTGCTTCCTAAGAAATCACCACTACGCCTTGTGCGCTGAGGGACAGAGATTGGAGAGCCATAGATGGGCTCAATGACACAGTGATCGACCCGCACCTACCCGCCACCCACTGTGGTCACTACCCATCACCACATCCTACACTACGCGCTTTGTCCCTGTTTCACAATAATGAATGGCTTTCTAATTCTGTCACTATTTCTATAAAAGCAGCCGGATGGTCTCGTCCTTCCTATCCCACATCTGTTGCTGTGGTATCGGAATTTGTGGGTTGGTAACATGTTAATCATGCCGCGAATAACTCCCACTGCCAGCTAAAGTGAGGCCTCCATCCCTTGCCTGCATGCAGGCGTCAACGCGTGCGCTTGGACACCAGTTACAACCCGGTGGGGCTCGTATTTCGCGAGGTGTGTTAATGTTCACCAAGTAACGGCATTGATGATCGCAGTTGCTTGCGCGTGGCTATAAATTTTTTGGCCCCGTGGGGGTGGGGGGTCGTAAAATTTTCGAAATCGGTCCAACGTGACGGTTGACCCTGCCTGCATGCTCCTCTTGTGGAGGTCGCGTTGTTGGTCATGAAGGGATGAAGGTACGTTGAAGGGCGATACCTTCACCTGCAACGACTGTGAAAGTGATGTTATGGATTGGGCAGCGTATTGAACCTAGCTAGGCAGTGATGCGAGCACATCATTAGTCTGCTTTTTCAGGATACCAAGCTCCGTTAGATCGCCATTACGATCTTTCTGAAGACATGAATCCTCCTTCTGGTAGACTATTACGAGCCGCGTCTTGGAGGATACTTCGTTCTGAATTACAACTTAGGTAAGCTTTGAAACTTATAAGTGCTACTGTGGCTCGCTAGTCATCAGATTTTCAGGAAATTTCTTGCGATTTTCTCACGACTGTGTGCGAAAGCCGGTCTTTCGTATCTCTAAAGTGTTCAAAGCAATCACTTCAGATTTTCCAACAAGTCAAACCACAACTAATAGGTAGGCAGCGCGATTTACTTTTTCATCCAAAGTAAAGCCCGGATTTAGTGGAAAGAGCTCACCGTAGGAGAAATGTGTTTCGCTTCACCAGGAATAGCCCATTGGGTCAAAAGACGGTTGGAATGAGGTCTTCATACACATTTATCAGCGTCTTGAGGCGAAGAGCTTGAATACCTTTGCGAAGTGCTAACGAATTTCTGACCATATTCAATTTCGAAGTCTACGACGCCGCATTGTAGTGGTCCCGGAGTTAGCGAACAAACGGTGTTTCTTCTTTGACGCGTGCTGCGTGGGATTTTGGTTGGTGGAACGGAAAGTGAACGTGATTCTTTCCATTAATTTACAGGGAAGGTCTTTCAGGGCAAGGTGCGCTTTTTGGAAACGGTTTAGTACATGTTGTAGGGACGCATGTATGGACCACAAAACCATGTTTCGTTTTCGCTGAACGGTTTTAGTAGTACCAAAAAAGTGGTGAATAATACTCTTGATGGTTCAATCCCCGCGGCGACTAAATTTTGCAATCAAGGTTGGCGGCCACTTGTTGGCTTCAAAATGGTCCTGACGATGAATTTGACATCTGATTTTGATATTTAGCGCGATTTGGCACCAAACCGTAGGCGCGCCAACCCAAATGCAAAATTTAGTCGCCACGGGGATCGAACCCTTACACAGTACCTTATGCTTCTTTTTTGGTACTGCTATAACCGTTCAGCGAAAATGAAACATGGTTTTGCGTTCCCTACATGCGTCCCTACAATATGCACAAAACCGTTTTGAAAAAGCGCACCTTGCCCTGAAAGACCTCCCTTGTTAGGTCAGAGCAGAGGCTAGACTAATGTCGCTGGTAAGATCGAGGACATCCGTTTGAAAAACTTCATAGAAGTGAAGAACTAAAGAGGTCCTTACTGGTACCACATATGCGCCGGTGTCGACTGAGGGGCGCTGTTCGTCGCATCAGATACAGCAGCTCGCTTCGGATTTGAGTCAGAGGAGCGTTATGGTCGTGTAAGTGGGCAGAAGGCGTCGTAAATGTGTTTAACTTGGCGAATGAATCCAACCAATGTTGATTATACTGCCAAATTACGATTGCATGTATACGACACTAAACTTCCAACTTTTCCCAGCATATCCCTCCCACACAGATTTTCTTTTAGCGATTCACGCTCTATATCCCTTACAATTGAAGGGCTCATTTACTCCATAATTTTGGGTCACATATAGCTGTTAGGACTTGATAAAGCTGCCCTCACACTTGAACGAACCAGCATGACCGATATGCGCGTCAGCATTTTCACGCGCAATGGGCATGGTTTCTGTCAAATTACACTCGTATTTCCGGTATGTAAGAAAGTGTCTTCATCATTGCACCCAGAATGTATTACAACCATTACCAGAACAAATTATTAAAGAATTGTGCTGGTTTTGGAATATCTCAAAACAAAATGATGCCGAGCAGCACGCACAATGGGTTGCCGTCAATTGCATAAAATAGAAGTTGTTGTGGTTTCAGTTGCGCCAGCATAGGCAATTTTCCCTCCAGATTTCCTTTCCTGCTCTAATGCAGCTCATCTAGTGTTTTTAGCAGCATTTTAAAGGTCCTACGACAAGGGTACGGCTGCACTATCGGTTCTGCGAAGGAAACTTCCAATACTTGACGATCGCGCTCTCTGTCAGAACCTGTTCGGAGAAGGAAGAAAGAACCGAGATAGTGAGGCCCCTGGAATTTCCATGTGTTTTTTTTGTTGAAATAATAAGACATGTTCAGTGAAATGGTGATAAAATACATAAATAAACTGGCGCTACTGAATATTTCGTTGCTCAATGAAATCAACTGGTTTTTGAAGACCGCAGAGATGGCTCGCGTCTATGGAATTCAATTTCATGAGGTGTGTTGACGTCTCGTATAACTTCGTATAATGTATGCTTTTGGGATTTTTTTTTTTCTCGGTTGTAGAAGTGTATTCAGGTGTGGAGCAGAGGCTCCCAGTTGCGAGTCGAATCCATGATGTTTCGCCTGGCGCACACGCAAGGATTTGTGCTACCTTCTGTCACCCCATCGCAGAGAATACAGTAGTCTCATCAGTGTTGCCATTCAGCGTAGTCCAAGAATGCTTCTCTTGGATAACATGTACTTTTCATCCGAGTGACATTTTCTACTTCGACATTTGGTTTTTGCCACATTTTTCTCTTCCCATTGACTGTGAACCAACGAAATGCTTTTTTTCCGGACCTCGAAAGCGCTCGTTTTAGGATGGAAGCTCCTGAACAGCTGCAGTTGATAATGGAGCCACTCTCAAAAGTGTACTTTGATCCAGTCATTGTCCTTGATTTTCAAGTAGGCATATGGTTTAGCAAGGCAAACTGGCAATGTGATAGCTTTTTTTCCTACGACTATTTCAGTCTCTGTACCCGTCCATGGTGATCGCTTACAACTACTGTTTTTCAACGCTATTTGGTAAGGTGCGTGGCAATTCGAAGGGTTTTTAGTAGTCTAGGTGACTCACATTCAAAAAAGTGACAACTTCAAAACCATCGCTATTTTTGTGTTAGATTGCTCCTAAGAAATTCTCAACACGACGTTCCAGGTGTTTCTAATTTATGGCCGTTTCCAGGTGACAGCCCTTGAAGAAATGCATCGTAGCGGTGAACCTGCCATACAAATTGGTGCCATCAAATACACGGTTCCGGTAAGTCATTTTCCATTTCATTCCAGTGAACAGGGCGGAGCTGTCGTAGTCGCATGAGGCGCTACTCTACAGAGTAGGCTAAACCTACGGAAAGTGCACGACTGCAAAATTCTTCGGCTTTTCTGGTTTCGAACTCGTTTTGTTTTTTGTAAATACAGTTATTTTTGGCTTCTGTTGTCAGAAGCTGATGGAGGTAAACGAGAATCTTGCACTTTTCGGTGTACGCCCCACCCACACAACTCACGCTGATGTGGTTTGTACTTCTTGGCCCATGTCCAATAAACAGTGCACTTGATCTGGGCTCGTCAGATGGATCTTCAGGAAGTGCCAATTTCTATGGCAGGCACTGGAATCTCTTTTGTATAATAAAAAGTAGGATAAGTAGGATCGTTTCATGAAACCTAGGGACATGACCATTTTCTCTCCTTATTAGAATCGGGCCTATAAGGATCGAAAAAAAAACTAAAACCCAAGCATATCAATCGCACGCACTTGAGGGAATTGTCAGGGATTGAGGTTTCTAAATCGAATTAGTCGCTGTCGTTCCCTACTTGTAATTGGCATCGGAGCCAAGATATTCCCAATCAGACCGGCCCTGTTTTACTGTCTATCGTTCCAAAATAAACCTCACAGCAAAATGTTGTCGTTAAAATAGCGCGCTAGTAAAACAGTGTTTGTACTACGGAAGATGCAGCAATTTCGTAGCAGCCAAAATCATCCTCGGCTGAGGCCGTTCTCCCATCTAGGAGAACATAACATAAGAAGCCAGGAGAGCCCAATGTTCCAATTGTGGGAGCGCTGTGCAGGCACACTGAGCATGTTAAAGGTGTACTGCGCTCTCGTGGGATTCAGCAACATAGACAACTGCGACAGTCCATAATTGTTAAGAAACGGAGCTCTCGCAATGTCTTGGACTGTTTCCATAAAACCGGTGGTACTGACTCGATTTTGCAAAAATTCTCAAATAGTTTTATTACAGAGATCCGCATTTGTGGAATGTGCAACAAAGAAGATGTTGCATTGTTCGCCTCTGTCGGCGGCGTTTGTCACTTACTCGAGGCGAAACGGCATTCTACCGACGCTTTTGCGAGAGGTATGTCTTCTGTTAAAAGCCGTTATATTGTCAATTGATCAAATAATGCAGGTTCTTGGTGCGAGAATCATGGTGAAATCCTCTATGAAACATGTGACTAGCAAGGTGCGTCGTTGCTGTGAATTGCGAATTATTATTGCGATTCACACCTCTTATCCTCGAATTTCAGCGTCTGAAACGAGTTTTGGACGCTCGTCAGCTAGCGCTGAAGCTCGTGGCTAACGTGACTTACGGGTACACGAGTGCAAACTACAGCGGAAGGATGCCTTGTGTTGAGGTGAGCTTTTTTCTTTTATTGGTTATTACAGGAAACGATTGAGGAATCGCTTCGACAACCCCCACCTTGCCATAGCAGCATATCGGAATGTGTTTGTTTCAGGTTGCAGATGCTATTCTTGGCAAGGGACGGGAAACACTGGAGAGAGCGATAGCCCAGGTAAATGAAGGTAACTATGGAGGTGCACGAGTGATCTATGGTGACACCGATAGCATGTTTGTGCTTGTACCAGGTTCGTCAGCTACTGCGTAGCAATCTCTCAATTAGCGATGGTTTTGGGAACTCATATCTCAAAAGCTGCAGTTCGAGAGAACAAATGGCTGTTCCTCTTGAAATCAATTTTTCCTCTTAAGGAGCCACTAAGTCGGAAGCGTTCGCGATTGGTCGACGTATCGCCGAAGACGTCACCAAAGCTAATCCTACCCCTGTTGTTCCTCAAACTCGAAAAGGTAAGGTCTCGATTTGTCTTCACAACTGTCGGAAATCTGAAATTCGGGAAATCTTCGTTGTTGGATACTGTATATTTCTAGGTGTACATGGGTTGTGTTCTGGAGACGAAGAAGCGGTACGCTGGATGGATGTATGAGAGTGAGGACGACGAAAAAGGTCAGCTGGACGCGAAAGGAGTTGAGACGATCCGCAGAGATACGTGTATGGTGGTTGCAAATGTGAGTTCAATGTCATTCCTGCGATAAAATCTTTTTTACGCGTTAAAAACTATAGCTGGATTTTTTCGAAGCCCAAATGATTTTATAGTAATTGATGTGTGTGACCTCATGTCAGAAGTGGAGATGAAGGTGGATAGTGGCTAGTGCTGTCGCTAGCATGCCCATGGCTTTTGGGTCAAATCTGATCGTGAGTTCGAAGTGCGATGAATACCCCGTTAAGCCTTATCTTAGAGAGTGGATTTTTTATGCTATTAGCTCGTCTCATGTGTTCTTTCGTAATCCGACCTCCTTTTTGAGCCCACTCGATTCCAAGCAAATGTATTATCTATTGTTAGTATATCCACCATCACCATCAGTGGATTGTTATCAACGATTAGCCGAAAGTGGCCGCTTACTCCCCGGAAGGCTGGCAGTTACGAGCTGAAAGAGGCAGTGAGGTCGATTTGAGGCTCCTATGTGGACTTTTTGGCGGCAAGATGATTGTGAGCAAGAGGAGCAGCGTCCTTCGAAAGAGGATGATCACCGCTGCACGATGGATATGGTAGGACTTTTCAGCTAAGCTTCGATATCTGAGAATCGCTCATTTTCGAAACGTGTGTCTCGGTTGTCGTGGAGCGTACACACTTTTTTGAGTTTTAAGGACAGTTGTTGGAGTTTCGCCGTGAGTCTCTGCCGTTGATCTCCCTACACTTGACTGAATTCATAGCTATAATGAGAGAATGTTCTAGTGGTTTACTCGAGAACGCTCCAAAAGAGGTGGAGCACGACCTTGTGGTGAATTTCTTCACTTTTCACCCTCTTCTGTCGATCCAGTCCCTGAGGATTCTAGGTGTGGTTGTCATGAAACCTGAGCTTCTCAACTGCAGTAGTAGCTTTGTTCAACCAGGGCGTACGGGTGGAGTAGGAAACAAATTGTAGACGGGACTCGTGCCGCACTCCTGTCATCAGTGATCAACTCATGAGGGAATCTTTGGCAAGGCTTCAACCCTTTTACGAAGGAGCGAGAACCTCTATGAAGTCACATCTGAAACATCAGGGTGTGGTGGCCATATAGCAGGTTATCCCGTATGGATTGGCTCCAATGAAAGAGCGCAGCCTGTCCAAATCCGACACCGATGCCTTTCCTGCATGAGACTTTTTCTCCGGGCTGTAGTCTCCTGAGCAAAGAGATCAATCCATTCTGATACCTCATGGCTGGCAACAATAAGGAGATGTGTTGCAAAGCAAATGTTACTTGGCTTCGATCGGTTTCTGGCTTAGCAGAAGTTCTTGACTCAAAGCGTGAAGAGCATGGCTATTTTCTGTTCGCACTTGGAACTCGAAGATGGCGGCTAAGATGGACATGATTCGGTTATAAGTTAGGAGTTAAGATAAACAATTAGGCGAGCACGTTGTACTGACAGTGTCCACTCTGCTGAGTGTAATTTCTTAACGCGAACTTATCTATATAGATTTGGGGTATTTTTAAGGAACATGTTCTTTTT